ATATATATATATATATATATATATATAGGTATAATTATTAGCTTTATCATTGTTTATTTATTTTCTTATTCTAGTTGCAAAAATGATTTGGTCAAGAGCAGTGAGAGATTTTCTCTCACCGAAGTTCGGATCCAATGTACTGTTACACATGCGCTTTCTCTCGCAACTGTTTACGTTCCCTTAAGACCTAAATGGCTGTGTTTATGAGGATAGGCTACTTGCAAAGCCAGGGAATTTGGATGCATATAAGTGTTAATGCAATCGTTCAAAGCCAATAAAGCGGCAAAAATGCTCACGAGCTCTATTAGCAGCTGATGCGCGGCTTACGCACTCCTCTCACACAGAAACAGAGACAGCGCGCGCATATAGCTTTGTTGTTTTTCAACAGCCTAAAATCAGTTGTTTTAAACTGCAGTGCTTAAAAACGTGTGCAAACTAAGTTTTCGTTGCACAGCAACGTGAGCGCGCATGCATTTATTCATGTTTCAGCCTGCATCCCCGTGTAATGCATGTAAGACTGCCGTCATTAAATGAAAAGGTATTGCCGTAAACGATGTATTTTGTGGCACCACAAAATAAACGATAGAGCATAATATGAAACGATGGACTTTTTATTTCATCCATCCGATATATATCGTCATATCGCCCAGCCCTAATTTGATGCATAGTGAAAAGACTGTACTTAGAGTTTCAGAGCTTCCTCCTTTAATAACAGAGCAAAATTGCATTATAAGAACCTTGCGACATGAAACCGGAGCTGAAATGGAGAAAATTAGATACCCTCTAGTTCATTATGTATGCATCCACGTGCACACACTCACTAACACTTGTGCTTTGCTTCTGTGTTTGTACTTCAGGACAGGGTAATGATCAATCGTATGGACAACATCTGTGAAGCGGTCATGAAGGGCAAGTGGCCTTCCAACAGGAGGCAGTTCTTTGACTTCCCAGGCCTGTTGCCTGGCTACAGCTCCATGGCAACGGACAGCCCCCTGCAGAGGCAGAGTCTTGGTGATCTCTCATTGGTGGCTCAGACCAGCTATAGTGGCAGTGAGGACCTCACCATGTCACCACAGGTCAACAAGGCAAGTCCCGCCCCTAACCCGGAGTGCTGCGCCTCCTGAGACTCACTATGGTTTTGTAAAATGATCAAATAGATTTTAATAGTTACGTTTATTAAACACCCTCTCATTGTTCTCGTCCAGGATGATGCTTTGAGTCTGTCAGTACCTCGGCAGCGCAGACGCAGGAGGAGGAAGGTGGAGATCGAGGCGGAGCGTGCTGCCAAGCGCAGGAACCTGATGGAGATGGTCGCTCAGTTACGAGAGTCCCATGCTGCAGAAGGCCAAGCACAGGCCATAGACCTGACCAAGGCCCTGCAAGGCGTGTCCACCTCCTCTTCCTCCTCCACTTTCCCTGGAGCCATGGCCTCCTCCGCAGCCCTGAAAGCACAGATGGAGCTGCTGCAAGCAGGCGCTTCCTCTAGACCCAGAGCCAACGGCTCTCTACTTGACACTGAACTCCCCAACCGGAGAAAGAGAGGTCGCAGGAAAAATGTGGAGGGGTTGGAACTGCTCTTTATGGGGAACAAAAGAGGACAACTCAATGCGGTACGAATCCTGTCAGGGTGTGATGTGGTAGTCATGCCGTTTCATGTGGCACATTGACACACTTTAAGCACATAAACACACTTTTCTTTTTCTAATTTTCTGTTGCTTTGCATCTGCAGGAAAATTCCGATGGGACCAAAGCTTTTGTGGATGGGCGGGCACGTAGACCCATGTCATCTCCTGCACATAAGGCTCCCGTTGAAGGCCTAGAAGAGGGAAGCCATCTTACAGGGGAAGATGGACCCAGCACTAAGGACCTACGGGAGTGGCTGAGACAGCACCCCACCTACACTATGGATATGCCTGGATACGTACCAGTGAGTGCAGTTCTTTCTGCCCACCCAACTTTTTTTTTTTTTCTGCTGGGTGATGTGGGAATGTTCTGTGCAGTTTATCTTACAGAGTTCTCTTGTTCTTATCTTTCAGAAGAATGAGGACCTCCTCTCTCAGTTTGCCAAGCCCAAACAGAAGAGACACAGATGCCGCAATCCCAACAAGATCGACATTAATACGCTGACCGGAGAGGAGAGAGTCCCTGTTGTTAACATTCGGAATGGGAGAAAGGCAAGTATTAATGTTTATCAATGGATCCAGTTAATTTCCCACAATATATTCTTTACACTCGCTGCAATGTTTTTAACTTGTATAACTACAGATGGGAGGAGCCATGGCACCTCCAATGAAGGATTTACCCCGCTGGCTGGTTGAAAATCCAGAATTTGCTATCGCCCCAGACTGGATGGATATAGTGAAGCAATCGGTGAGTATTTTATTACATTTTGAGTGAATTCAGATCAATTTAGCCACTATTTGATAGTTTCAGCTATTAGTAACTGTCATGTATCAAATTGGTTGTTGCTTTGTTTTTTTTTAAATATATTTATAATGTATACTACTACCATTCAAAAGTTTGAGTTCAGCAAGTTGATTAAGAATTACTTCTATTCCGCAAACATGACGTTAAGGGCATTTTGTAATATTACAAAATATTTCCATTTAAAATAAATGATGTTTTTTTTTTTTTTTTTTTAACATTTATGTAGAAACTTTTCTTCAGAATTAAAATATAAAGCAGCACAACTGTTTTCAACAATTGGAATTTTTTTTTGCATATTGATTTCTGAAAGATCATGTGACTGAAGACTGACTGAAGACCGCTTTCCCATCACAGGAATAAATTAGATTTTAAAATCTATTAAATTCAAGTTATTTTAAATTGTGGTATTGGACAATTACTGTTTTAATTGCTCTCTTGATCAAATAAATAGAGCCTTGGTGAGCACAAGAGACTTCTTGAAAAACATGAAAATCATACTAACTTTTCATGGTTGTTGTATATTCTTAAATTATAATATTTTCTTTTTGTTTCCAGGGCTTTCTCCCAGAGTCCATGTTTGACCGTCTTCTGACTGGGCCAGTAGTCAGAGAGGAGGGCGTGCGCCGCAGAGGCAGGCGACCCAAATCTGAGATCGCCAAGGTGACAGCAGCAGCGCAGGCAGTGGCTTCCACGTCCGGCGTTAATCCTTTGCTGATGAACGGGCTGTTTGGCGGTATAGACCTGACCAGTCTGCAGGGCCTGCAGAACCTCCAGAGCCTCCAGCTGGCTGCTGGCCTCATGGGCTTTCCCCCTGCTCTCGGAGGGGGAGCGGACGCCAAGCACGCGGCAGCCATACTGCCTCTCATGCTTCCTGGCATGGGTGGCCTCCCCAACATGTTCAGCCTGGGGGGTCTGTTTGGAGGAAACCTGGCTGCCGCTGCGACGGCCACCAATGGCGCCTCTGGCACAGAACAGGCTGAATCTGAGGAGAATCCCAAGCTGAAGACGGACGATGAGACCAAGGACGAAGGAGAGGAGAAGGAAGCAGAGAAATCGTCTGAAATGGAGTCTGCTGAGGCAACCGGTGACGCAGCTGCACTGAATGCAGCCGTGGCCGCCGGCATGTCCACCAGCGCGCTGGCCTTCAACCCTTTCCTGCTTTCCACCATGGCCCCAGGCCTCTTCTACCCATCCATGTTCTTACACCCCAGTCTTGGCGGCCTGGGCATCCCAGGCTTCCCCCAAGCTTCTCTAGCTGACCTCCAGAGCACTGTGTCCGGGGCCTCGGGGGCCACCGGCAAGGACAAGGAGTCCGGTAAAGGGCTCCGCAAAAATCAGGACCAGAATGCCTCCACGGCTGACGTGGAAACTGCTGACAACACACTTGAAGACAGTGACTCAGAGGAGAGCCAGAACAAGACTGCTGATTCATCAGTACTAGATGATGACCTGGCAGGGCCGGCAGAGGAAATGGACTCCATGGAGGGTGGAATGGATGATGAGGACGGTGATGATGATGAGGATGATGACCCTGCTGATGAGGATGACAAAAGTGACTAAAAAAACTGAATCAGGCCTTCTAACATTTCCCCAGGGCTGAAGAGACGCAGACTGAACTCTTGACAGAATGGTTAGTCCAGCTGTTTACATGCCAACTCAATATCCAAAACACTTTGGTCGTTTGGTTTTTGTTGACAGGTAACGTTAAGAGGAAAGCAAATAAGCTGTCTCTGTAACCATTAGCATAGCCAGGGATGACGTGAACAGTTGTGCGGATGTCAAAAGGGTGTTTTTTTTTCCTGTGTTTTCCTTACTTTTTTTTTTGTTTTTATTTTTATTTTTTCCTTGAAGTCTTTGGCACTGTGTGGGTGCCTTCTAGATGAGATGGAAATGTCCTTAAATATTATAGGAATTAATTGTTCCGATAGTGCTATGCTGCTCTCTCATTTTAATATTATTTTTTGTTTTGTTGTCACTTTTTTTTTTTTCTCTCTCTCTCTCTACTGTTGATATTGTACCAATGAGTAGCATCTTGTAATATTCAGTGATGTACAATTTAATGGCATTAAGACACTCTCCGCTGCTGAGGAAGAATCGTGGTTTTCGTTGTACTGTTCTGCTGAGAGGAGCGGGCAAAGTTCTCACATATCATAGCCTACACTCGGACTGTTCCCAGTCTCTCACTGACAATCCAAACGGGTGAGGAGACCTCTCGACCTGTGGAGACAGCAATAACGAAGGCAGCTTTTGAATGTTCAATTTTACTCTTTTGACTAAACACCGGAAAGTGTGAAAAAGTGACATGAAATAAATTACTGAAGTCAAACGGTCTCATTGTATCCATGTTAATGCACTGGTGTAAGAATAAAATCAGGTACCTTTATCTATTTGAATGGACTTTTGTTACTTTAGCCACAAAGCTGAACAGCATTACCTCAATTCTAACTAGCCTTGAAGTTTACAGACATAAATGTTGTAAATGTTTTTTTTTTTTCTTTTGTGTCCTTTTTTTAATCTTTTTTTTTTCTTCTTTTTTTGTTTGAAACCATCATGTATGATGAACTGTTAATTGCTGCCAACTGTAGTAATGATGCTTTTAATAAAAGTGACTCTCAATATTCACCTAGGAAACCAAAACTGTGTTTGTGTAGCTCTGTGGAGATGTCAAACAGCATCCTCTGACAACAACGAACCTTTTATAGCTATATCATCTAACAGAAATTGTTCATTCACTTCATGTTTACATCCGTTTGATCGGTCAAATTAGATTTGTTTGAAATACTTGTAAAGATTTTTTATTCATTAGCACCAAATAGTTCCAGTTAGGGAAGAAGCCGATAGACGATAGTATCGTGTATCGATGATAGTTAGAGATATCACCTGTGGCTGTCTGATGCCTTTGATGATAGCAGGATTTATTAGTATTAGTGTTAGTAGTAGTATTATTTTTTTTTAATTGAACAAACTATACAACTATAATGGCATTCACAAATACAAGTAAACAAGTATTAAGGCAAATAAGTTTAAATTAAAAAATAAATAAAAAAGGATGTAAGGAGGGGTCATTTCATTCCTCTTCTAGTAAGCGGAAGTCTCTTAAGTCAACAAATTTTTGGGCTTTTCTAATTTTCATACATTCCAATGAAGGAAAATAGTGAAGTCTCTTGAATACAGAAAAATAAGGTCTTGTCTTCATACATTTGCATTTATGAATGAAAAACTTAACCAAAATCAAAATTACATTTATGAAAAACTTTCTTTTTATCACCCAACAACATTTCAAACATGCTTTCTAGCAAAAGTGGGCAGTGATCGAATCTTTGTTTCCAACCAAGAAGACGTACTTGAAGACATACATAGGAAACACTTGAATACACACAAGAAAAGAAAAGATGATCAGTTGTCTGTCAACTTGGCAAAAAATACATGCATTTTCTTCAAAATTAAACCGACTTCTAGGGTTGGGCGATACCACTTATTTTGTTTTCGATACGATACCGATATTTTTCAAGGCAGTATCGTCGATACGATACGTCTGAACTAAACTTCAATTATGAAATGTATTAAATTACTAAGAGTAAAATGGGTAATGATAACCACTTTGTTTAAAACACATTTTAACATTCAATATGCCTTAATTGTAATTTATTAGGTTATATTTTGGTTTACACATGGTTCAAATGTGTTTTTTGTTTCCACATGATTCAAATCTACAAATACTACAATTGAACTATGGTCACTTTAGTAAAACCATGGTTCATTTTCATAAGGGACTGCCAGTGACAGGCTGTTGCATCCATAAAATGCAACCTTTTTGTTCTGACAGTGTATGATTTCTATTAACATTATAGAATAGAACATGATCTATATTATCTTTCAACGTTCAATTTAAATAAATGTAATTGTACAAACTATGTAGGCTACGATTTCAATTTGTTTATTGTGAAATAACTCAAACATATGTTTTTTTTCTGTCCTCTGATAAGCATTGTTCAGGGCTGCTGTTCCCAAAAGCTTTAATGCTTTCTTATGATAATTTTGGGAAACGCAGCCCTGTTTGAATACACTTTTGTATGGTGAATGAACGCTCTCTTTGATGGATTGGTTCTGTCTTGCAACATTTGCGTGTGTTCAGATGAGCAGGAAAATAGTTATATCCTACACAATTACTCGCTAACAAAGGACTCTCAATTTTATAATGCCTATAGCTCCAAAAGTTGGACACTTAGAGGATTGAAACCGGTGTCAATTTCACCAGCTCGATTTGTGAATTTTTTCACAGTTAAGCTCTTGTCCGTAAACCCCTTGGTAAGTCCGCTATAAGGAATGTGAAAAATAGGCGTTCTTTATGTTTAACGTCTATTACCAATAAACACGCAGACTGCTCGAATACAAAAACATTGTTTTTAGGTCAAACTCGATTTGTGAAAACTTTCCCAAACGCAGTTTATCGCGTGTCTTTGTTTCTCTTTGCACTGCTCTTTTTTTCTTCTGTCATAATGTCATACGTTGCTGTTCCAGTGAATAATGGTTTTCCAAGCCATTAGATAAATCATACACGGCTCTAATAGACTATTGTGATTTGTGTAATCTTTCACAATATAAAGGTTTGGTTGTTTTACCTTACCTTTTATGAGTCCTTGGCTTCTATTTTCTGTTTTGCTAAAGGTTTCACAGTATAGTTTTTGTAATTTAACCCTTCCCTGAGCCCTTAACTATTCTGAACTGTGGTAACTTTCAGAGGTACGGGTCAGCTGACCATTCCCTGAGTCACTAACATCACTATTCTGATCTGTGAAAACTTTCACAGGTCAGAAGCACCGAATGACATTATTATAGGCTACAAAAAAACGGGGGGCAGAGCAAAGATAAACACTGCCACACGATAAAATGCGATTGTGAAAGTTTTCACAAATCGAGCTCGACCTAAAACAATGTTTTCGTATTCGTATTTATAGCCAAAAGAAATCTGAATATCAAACCGCAAACTATCTTTACTGCGTTGTAAAAACGAACAAACCTTAGTATCGATATTTTTAGTTTGAGTATCGATACTTTCGATACTCGCGTCAGTATCGATATATCGATACTATAGGATCGATACGCCCATCCCTACCGACGTCTCAAAACCTCAGATGATGGGTATATACCATTAAATATTTTAAATTGGGTTTCCTTAGCTTTAGGACCCGCTGGAAAGCTAATATACTGTATTTGTAATTGTTGTACAGTTGGCTTATCATAAACTTGCAAAACATCATTATGATAAGGAAATGTCAGATATAATATAGAATTGAAACGAGAGCGAATAAGCTTATTAGGAAGCATTAATCTGAGGTCATTCCCATTAAATAAGAGGGGTGGGAGTTCACATGCTTCATCTGACATATAAACATAATTGCTTTGTACTAGATTTATGAAAACTCTTTGAATGGCATTTAAAAGACGCTCAACTAATTTGCGTTCACAATATAAATTATATTTTGCACAAAAGCCACAAAGTTAACAGACTCCCATTTTCATCCATTAAATGAAGAACTGACCAAACACCTTATTCAAGCCCTTCAAGAATACATAGACTTATATCTGATCTAAATAAGTTGTTCCAAATGGGAATTCTATGAGGAGTGAAATTATGATTATATAATAATGTCCAATATAACAAAACCTGTTGGTGAAAAGAAGATAATTTGATTGGCAATCTGGAAGCCGTAAAATCACATCTCAACAGGAAATCAATTCCACCCAACTTTCTAAATATACCTCTGGGAATGCAAAACCAAAACTGTATGTCATTTGTTATAAAAATGTTAAGCCATTTTATCTTCAACATACCATTTATACAATAAAAGTCAAAGGCTTGTAATCCATCACTTTAATTACTATTACTATTATCAGGCTAGTAATACTATCAAAATAATATTAGGGCTGATTGTTCTTTCGCATCTTTAGTGTTGCGCATTATACGATTGCAGACACGATTCCGCTGACTTTCTGAATGCAATGGCCAATCAGAGGCGTTCAGATGAGTTATCGCTGAAACAGAGGAGTTTTGTTCAGAGCGTGCTCGTGAATTATCATAAACAAAATGCAGATGTACGGGCGATGTACGTATAAGAGATTTATTCATCATACAGTGTATACAGCTCTTATAACGGAAGTGTTTTTTAAACTGCATAAACTGGCGCTAGACTGAAGTCAGTATGTTCTTTAAAAATGTAAATGTTCTTTGCTCATTTTCGGTAGCTGCTTTTAAAATAACTGAGGAAATGTAAGCCTTATAATTAGTAACTTAGTGTTTCTATTAAATACAAATTCAGTCATAATAAAAACATTAGGCTGCTTTTAGCCTTAGGCTGGAGTTGGTTCACTTTTCGGTGTTGTTGCGAATTCTGACCCTTCCAGATTATTAACCCCCTAGTATCAGTAGGTTTAGGGTTAGGTGTGGGGGAGGTTGTCAAGTCCGTGGAATTGGGCTACTTTAAAGGGATCATATGATGTTGCTAAAAATAACATTATTTTGTGTATTTGGTGTAATGAAATGTGTTTATGCAGTTTAAGGTTAAAAAAACACATTATTTTCCACATACTGTACATTATTGTTTCTCCTCTATGCCCCGCCTTTCTGATTTTTACAAAGCTCATCGGTCTGAAAAGCGAGGTGTGCTCTGATTGGCCAGCTATCCAGTGCGTTGTGATTGGCCGAATACCTCAAGCGTGTGACGGAAATGTTACACCCCTTACCATATTGTGATGCCGTGTCCCGGCCGGAGCGACGAGACAAAAACATTAAAACCCATTATAAACGAGGCATTTGTTGCATCCAGTGGGGACATTATTGCAGATGATAATGTCTTTTTACACGCTGCGTTGTGCTGCGTAAACATAAAACCATGTCTGCATTTGTGATCGGAGAAATGACAAACAACAAGTACTCTACACTTTGCGTGAACATTTGGGCGGCGTTATGCAAATCTTCCCACATCGTGACGTAGACATGTGGGGGCGTGTTTGAACGAGGCATTTTAGGAGGGCGTGGACAAGTCTTAATTTTTATAAAGAATATCTCTTTGGGTTTGAGACTTTAGTCTTTGAAACTTTAGGGATCTTATCTATTCACGAACAGCTTGTAACACTCCAAAGAGATAGGAAAACTTGAAATCGCATCATATGACCCCTTTAACACTGTTGCCACGGGTTGTTTTCATGTCTGCGGGTTGAAGTGACTCCAATAGCATGATATTTATCACCTGGAATGGGAATTTTAGCAGGGGAACCCCGCCAAAAAAATGTGTATTTTACCCCCCAGAACGCGATCTTTAACTGGGGACCCCCGCGAAACAACGATTGGGCTAGTTTTGGGCTAGTTTTGAGTAGAGATTGTGCGGGTTTTCTTGTGAAAACCTGGCAACCCTGGGGGGGTTAGGATTAGGCAATCCAGTATCGATTTTAATGAGGGGGTAATAATTTGGCAGGGGGTCGAAAATGTGCACAACACTGGCAATGAAATTAAGTAAATACTTAAATAAATGAGCACAATATCGGGTGTATTGGGCAATCTCACAGGCTGACGATAGGATGATATGACAACTGAATTTGAGCATAT